GCCACCGGCCGCACTAGAGGGCGTGCAAGGACCGCCGGTCGGTGGTGGAGGCGATGCTCCCCCCACGCTCCCCCCCATGCTCCCCCCGACGCTCACCCCACACTCACGCTGATGCTCACTCTGGTGCCCACCCCGATGCCCCCCTGGTCTCTCGCCCGCAGGTGCTGGAGGCGGGCATCCTGCAGAGGATCTCTCCCGAGGAGCGCAAGCGGCAGGAGGTGAGGGGGCCCTGGCCGTGCCCGAGCCCTGTGCCAGGGTCTGCTCGGAGCTGGGCTGGGCTGGGCTCAGCCCCGGGCTCAGCCCCTGCAGATGGCTCCGTGCTGCTGCTGCTTCCCCACACCTTGGCAGGGAAGTGGGCGATGCCTTCGGGTGCTGGTGGGAAATAGCCACTGGACAGAACAGCTTAGTGCTGCGGTGTGGTAATGACTAAACCACGCTGAAGTTTTTGATGTAGGCCAAGCAATGCACGAGATGGTGCTGGGAACACCGTGTTTCCAGTGGCTTTATGCCAACCAAATGTAAATAAGATGCAGCAAGTTTTAATTCACTGCCTTGTGTAGTCAGTTTGTGCTGTTCCATCTTCACTGCTCTGCTTTTTTCAGGCCATGTTTGAAATCATCACTTCCGAGTACTCCTACATGCACAGCCTGAGCGTCCTGGTGTGCCACTTCATGAGGTCGGAGGAGCTGAAGGAGACCATGACTCAGATGGAGCATCACCATCTCTTCTCCAACATCAGCGACATCCTGGCGGTCAGCACCAGGCAAGTGGGGGCTGTTGGCCTGGGACTGGGACCAGCCAGGCCCAGAGGAGGGGCCACTGGGGATCCGTTTATTTGCCATGTCAAAACAACTGTACCTTGGACTGTGGGAGGCACTAAGACATCCCACCTATTGTCTTTCTTCTGGAGCCTGGTGTCATGGCACACACCCCTGTAGTGGCTTCCTGCTGTTATGTGCTCAGGACCTGAATGGCTAGGGGCATATGGTCTGTTATCCTGACACAGTTTTTTGGTGGGCTGTAGTGGTGATGCTCAGTCATGTGGCTGTGATTGGGCACCAAAAGCTGGCTGAGCCCAGGTCCACACGCCTCGGACACTCCTGTTCACCTGGGAACTCCTCTGTGGGTGCCAGCTGGTGCCTCCCTTTGCCCCTGGGCTGGTGGGGCCGGTGGAGCCGTGGCTCAAGCACCGGGCAACAGCATGGGGCAACGAGTGGGACTCTCCCCGGGCGTGGGCAGGGACTCGCACGCTCGACAAACA